TCACCAGGGTTGAAGATCTGTCATGATCTGATGTTCATTTACTCAAGTTTCACTATTCCCGATGCCCAGATTCTTGGCCAGTCTCCAAAAAGTCAAAAGATGCTTCTTTACTGGCTAGTTTTTTGATGGAAATCCTAGTTGAGTCACAGTTGCTGTTGCTCAAGGTGACAGATGGCTCCTGTGTTCTTTCACCTTAAGAATGCTGGATATCTGTGGAAATAATATCGTTCAATCTGTAGGAAGAACAAAACCTTCAAAGCTTTTATAAGTCTTGTATTACATATGGATCATGCATTTGTTCTCATCTTGGTAAACTTTCTTCTGTGTTTGTTTGTTGTGTTTTTCTGAGATATAGGTGGTTGTATAGTTGACTTTAATACTGTATTTCAGGTTCAGAGAAGAAATTGCCAAATTTCTGACTGACTATGCCAGAGCTGCAGAAGCACTGAATCCAGACCATGTAAGACAAGTGCTTTAGCTTTGCCTTCTCTTTTTCTTAAATTCATAAAAACTGAGTAAATCTGTACACAAATGCCGACAAGATACCACAGGAGGAATTGCTGTAGGACAGAAGCCGTCTTAGTGTATATTTTTGTTGAAAAAATGGGAATCTTGAAATTATTGAGCACTTAATATGGAGAGCGTTTTCTTTTTTTCCTTTGTTTTCTTGTTTGTTTGTTTGCTTTTGAATGACAGTCCAGGATTTATATGCCATGAGTTATAAACTGAAAATTGCCAAAGTCATGGGGAAAAGGTGTAGGGAGAAATTCTCAAGTACTTCCAGAAAGTTGTTCTATCCTTCTGTTCCCACAACAATGCAGAAAGCAAAATTAAAAGCTATGAACTGTATGTGTGATAGCTGTAGTGCAGCTGTAGTGTCTTCTGCTCAGTTGCTCCAGAAGTTGGAAGGCAGAAACATGTTTCTCTTCTTTGAGTATCTCTCTCCAACCTTTCTTTGACTTTCACTTTTAAACTGGGAAGGGAAAGAAAGACAGATCATATTGCAATCCTAGACATTTTGGAAAAAGTGGAGAATAGATTTAAATATTTGGCAAACTACTGGATTCACCAACGGAGCGTGATTGTGAACCCAGACACCTTAAAAATACTGTGGACTTCGCTTGGCTTTTAATCTGCAGAAATGTAGGCAAACCTTTTCATTTTGGGAAAACTTAGAGGTGGGAAGAGAGAGGCAAGACCTTAACTTTAGTAGAATGACTAGTTTAAGTTTTGCATGTAATGCTTTAGTTTACCAGAAAGTGTAGTTCCAAGACTATTTCTTTTAATAAAAACTCTTACTACAGCTTTTACTAATCTACTTTAGTCATCTGAATGTTACCTTCAAACAAGACAGGTCCTGGTATTTCTGCTATTATATGTTTGTACTCTGTTTTTTAGATCACTGTGATGAGTGGTTGTTGTGCTGTTTTCGCTACCCTGTCAACTGTATTATGTGACCCTGGTGGTGAGTAAAAGCTGATAAATCTTATTTGAAAACTTTAGTTAGCAGTGAATATAAAAGTATTGTGCCTTATGACAGCCTGTTTGTATTATGCATCACTGAATGAAGTGATACATAGTATTTCTTGTCATTAGCAGGGTGTCTTCTTTGCTTTCAGACTGCAGTAAAGGCTTTGAGATTAAGTCAAATGCTCTGTTCTTATGTTGCCAGTTTAGTTCCTTATAGTGCACTGGAAAGAATTGCTTGTGAGAAATGTTAATTCTATCTTTCATATTTTCAGATGGATATCTTATTCCAACTCCGTGCTATGGTGGTATACACTCGAAAACCTGGTTGTATGGTGGAATTCAGCCTGTCCATGTGCCCCTGGCCAGTGAGGTAAAGCTGCCCGGGAGCCCCTCGAGGGGCAGTCTGGGTTTTTCTGCAGCCTGCAGCACAGGAGGGGCCTGGTGTGCTCAGCTGTGCAGGTCACGTTCGCTCTTGCACAGAGCCCTCCTGCACTGATGTGCTCACTTGTAATAGGTGAGCTGCAAATCTGTAACTCCTGCAAGAAGTAAGTTTGCTTTGCAACCCTTTTTTCTCTTAGTTACTGCAACATTTATTGCTGTGTGGGTTAACACAAGTTTCCCCTCTGAAAGCTCGGTAGTCTGAGGAGAAAAGCAGAAGGAGGCAGAATCTTCTGTAAAATCAAGTGATGCTGTCAGAGGGGAAGAAGAACCCACAAATGCCGAGCACACAAGTTCCTCTGCAAGTCATTGAAAAACAGCCCTGTATAAGGACAACATAGAAAAATAATTGAGTTACATATGAAAGACTATTCCTGATTTCAGATTATGAGGTTATGATAATATTGCTGGATTGCTCTTTTCCCTCCTTGAGCTAGTGAGATCAAAATTTGCTTCATTTAACTTACTTGCTAAAAGTCAATGGCAAATATATTTTTGCTGGGTAAGAGCATTTCTTCACATTGCTTTTTTGTTTGTTTGTTTGTTCTTGTTGATTTTTTATTCTTCTTCTACAGGTGACAGATGAAGAAAGTCACCCTTTCCAGTTAACTGTTGAAAAACTAGAAGCTGCACTAGATAGAGCTAAAAAACAGGTAAGAATAACATTCAGTAATTTCTGATTTTCTGTTTTCTTAGTTATTTTGTAAGCAGCATAACTTCCCAGTACTGAACTACTTACATATTTTCATGTTTACAAATTTTTCCAATCTTATAACTGAAGCAGGACCAATTCTCACAACTGGAATTTAACTAATTTTGTAACATGGGCAATATAATAAAATATAGAGAAAAATCCTTTCCTGTTTTATGAAGAACAGATCTTAATTTGGTTTTAGACCAATTTTCTTCCACAGTGGATTTTTATGGAACTCCAGTGAAGGAGCTATTGCTCAGACTTTGAGCAGACCCTGTACCATGTAGTATCATTGGAAAGTCAGAGAGGTGGGGTAAGAATTGTTCCACTATGAAGGCTCCTTGCAAAACGTAATTTTTTTCAGAATTCAGGACACTGCAATAGTTCAAAATATTTAACCTATCATTTCCAGTGATTTTATTTGCGTCAGCACTGCATGATATTATTTGCCTCATTGTATGTCCTCTTTTTTTTTTTTTTTAACACTTCCCTCCCTTTTGCAACTGGATTACTTAAGGAATGATTTGGAGTTTTTTAGTGTCCATTACAACTGAATAGTGTTCAATAGTTTTTAGTTCAGCCAATAAACACCTGAAACATTCTCATCATCTTGAAGTTCATTATCCACAGACTTCATGGAAAACTGGAAATGGTCAACTGTCTGCAATCCTCCTCATAAAGATCCATCCAGAGACAGCATAGGATGGACAGCGAAACAATTTATGAAAAAAACAAAATGGTGTGGTAGTGGTATTAATAATGGTTTCAAAACAAGAGGTCAAATAGAGTTGTGTCCTAGTCCAGGATTGAAAATGAGATTTGACCATAGGTAAAGCATAAAAGTAAGGTCAGTTCCAAAGGGAAGTTTGATGAGTAAGGTCACATATAAACAAAAGTAGGTATTTTGGATGCATGCAAACATGCAGTAAAACTGTTATTGGATGGGGGCTTTGTTCATTTTGATTTTTGAGGGTTTTGTTGTTTTGATTTGATCGAGATATGTGGAAACTCCTAGTTAGCTGAGCTGCTCTGTGCTCAGACAAGATCTGTATGTTCAGGTCAGCTTCTGCGCCCGTGCCAGTCTGTGTGGGATGGAGCATTCAGGCAAATGGCAACTTGATCTTAGCCAAGGTTTTCAGCTAGCCCCCAAGTTCCCTTCCTGTGGCTGCCAAGTGTGAGCTGGACAAAACGTGGATCACAGGGCACATTAACTCTGTAGAGACCTGCACGTCTCCGCCATCCTCCAGGAGGTGAAGCTGTTCTCATGGTTAATATTACAAACATTTCTGTGCATGTAATATAATAAATAGCTGGAGCAACAATTAATTAGGAACTGAGAAACCCCCATCCCACAGCAGCTGTTCCTATGATCACTAACTGTTCCCTCAGCATCTTCTGCTACTGAAGACGTCAGATGTGAAACAGGCTAAATACAAGGACATCCATGCAAGAAATTCTTGTGGAAAAGCTGTTACTGCTTTGTATTTACATCTTAGCTTGTTTCCAAGTAGTTTCTTCCTCCTCTATATGGAACCAAAGGAAAAAAAAAAAGTATTCTTTTTTTCTCACAGTACCCATAACATTTAGAAAAAAAAAGTACCTATTGAGGGGGAGAGTAAGTATCAGTGCCCCCTCATAGATGATTTTCTTTTTCTTCTGGAGTTCCTCTAGAGTTACTCTTTGCAAATAATACTCCTTAGATTAGAGGAATTAAAAATACTTATTTAAAGTTTATCCCAAATATGAAATAATAAGGCCATTCCTCATGCTGGCAGAGCCTATCTCTTGAAAGTTCCTGCTGTGCAGTATTTAACTGTACACCATGAATATATCTATGTTGAGTATAGCTTATGTTAACATACATTAAAGATTTTTTTTTTTAGCAAATAGAAAATAGATGAATTTGAGATATACCTGTAGAGTTAAAAATATGGATGATACTTGTACTTCTAATCTATTTTTTCACCATGTAGGACTCTTCTCATTACACAGTAGAATTTTTATAATCTCATACAGGAGTGCAGAGAAAATTCTTCATCCAGATCTCCTTTCATCCCTCTGCACCTCTCTTAGAACACCAAATAATTAAATCTTCAACCTTTTGACTTCTGCACAGTCTCTTACTTATTTAAAAAAAAAAAACAAAATGAAATGATCAGCAATGAGAAATTATTTAGTTAGCTGGTTGTAGTATGTGAAAGTCAAAATTCTGTTCAACTCACAGCAACATGCTCAGTTCTTGCGAAAATATTTCGGAAGTGTGTATGGCTGTAGGACCAGGAATAAATGTCAATCCATACAACATCATGACCTCACTGGCTGACATTGATTTTCATTTTCATTTCCTTTTTTTTTTTTTTTTTTAAGCAGGAGTGTTAACTTGATTTTCATTTGCAAACTACCTAGTATGTTTCTGGAGTTAAGTTTGTATAAATTCTGAAGTGAATTAATATTAAAAATATATATAAATGAATAAATTTATTCAGTTATTAAAACATCTATTTATGTGTAGTTACGATTTTTCTAAAGGTAGCTCTTCACTGAAGAGCTGTCTAACCTACATCCTTGGCAATCCTTTCTTTGATGTCATTGGCATCTCTGAGTATCAACTTTTCTCTTTTCAGGGTCGCCGAGTCAGAGCGTTAATCCTGATCAACCCCCACAATCCATTAGGGG